GGTAGAAAATCCTGGAAACTGAGTAATGCCGGTTTGAATTCCGCCCGGTATCATAGGGATTTGAGAGGGAAATTGAGGTAAGCTGGGGCCAGCGAAAGGATTTCCTAGTCCGGGAAAACTCGGGATCTGACCTGTACCGGGAATCTGACTCGCGCCAGGAAGTTGACCTATGCCAGGAAGTTGACCTATGCCGGGAATCTGACCTGTGCCAGGAAGTTGACCTATGCCGGGAATCTGACCTGTACCAGGAAGTTGACCTATGCCGGGAATCTGACCTGTGCCAGGAAGTTGACCTATGCCGGGGATCTGACCTGTGCCAGGAAGTTGACCTATGCCGGGAATCTGACCTGTGCCAGGAAGTTGACCTATGCCGGGAATCTGACCCGCGCCAGGAAGTTGACCTATGCCAGGAAGTTGACCTATGCCGGGGATCTGACCTGTGCCAGGAAGTTGACCTATGCCGGGGATCTGACCTGTGCCAGGAAGTTGACCTATGCCGGGGATCTGACCTGTGCCAGGAAGTTGACCTATGCCGGGGATCTGACCTGTGCCAGGAAGTTGACCTATGCCGGGGATCTGACCTGTGCCAGGAAGTTGACCTATGCCGGGGATCTGACCTGTGCCAGGAAGTTGACCTATGCCGGGAATCTGACCTGTGCCAGGAAGTTGACCTATGCCAGGAAGTTGACCTATGCCTGGAATCTGACTGATACCGGCAATTTGACCCGTTCCGGGAAACTGACCGAACAGTTCCTCAAAGTTCGGCAGAGCCTGTGAAAATTGCTTCAAGGTCGGCCAAGTGATTTGCTGAGTGCAAGATATAAAGTTATTGATTCTCATACATTCCAGCATGTTGCTTATATATGCGGGACGTATCGAATCCGGTATTGCTTCCTCTGTTAATCTGACAATGTTCATTTCTCGAGCAGTTAGAAGATCTCTTATTACAGGATTATTGATGTCCAGATAAGAGACCTTCAAACGAAGCGTCGAATCCTTGTTCAATTCTTTTAATATACTTTCTATTTTATTTTCGATTGCGTCGACGGTAGTCTTCGTATTTTCGTTAGACGTTGCGTTCTCTGAATAAGCGTTATGTAGCAGAATCGACGATGAATCAAATTTCGTCCTCGGCTCGTTTCCAAAATCGGGGAAATTCGGCAGTCTTGGGAAAAATTGAGCGACGGTTGGCCAAGTTATGTCCCGTGTACAGTCGAGAAACATGTTTTCTCGAACGCAATTGACCATTCGCTCTACGAAAACTGATTTCACCGATTCCGGCAGCAGGCTTTCCGCGACAAGAACGATGTTAGCCTGCTGTTCCGTAAAGTAACTCATCGTTTCCGGCAATCTCGAGCTAATCATGGAATACATAACGCCCGGTATGGAGCTCTGCACGGCCTTGAGAATTTTCAGAATCACACCTTCTGGATGTTCCGAGAAAATAGGATAGAATCTGGTATCAGTGATGGTAATAGTAGCATCTCCGTGCTGGCCAATCTTGACATCGGTCTCCGACAATGGTGATGAGTCAGTCAGATTCTGCGGTAAGATAGATTTGACGTTGGTCGTTTGAGAATGCGCTCCAAAATTCGGGAAGCTGGGTAGCCTAGGGAAATATTCCGACAGAGCAGGCCACAATACGTTCCTTGAACACGCCAAAAAATTGCTCTTGCGAATACATTCTGTCATCCGATCGACGAAAGCGGGACGAACTGCATCTGGTAGCAAGCTTTCTGTTGTATTAACAATATTCAGCTGCCGATCGTTAAGCTGATCGGCCAACTGCAATGTACTGATAAGCTTGGCAACGTGATCATCTCGCACATTTGGCGACGACATCTGAATTGATCTAAGAATGTTGAGTATCACCGACTCGGGATGTTCTGTAAATATCGGTACAAATCGAGTACCGGTTACGCTTATCACAGGATTGTTACTCTGCGGAAATTTCGTTCTAGAAATAATCTTTACGTTGGAATTCGCTTCATTTTGCGATTTATCCCA